TAATATGAGGATTTGTTTTAAAATAGTGATGCTAAATAGCCTAAAGCCATTCATATCCTTGGCTATTGTGAAGAAGGAGAAGGGAGAGGAGGAGGAGGAGACAGGACAAGATTGAAGATGATTCTTTTTTTAAATGTCTTTGTGGCTTAACTATTTGTGTTAGATGTTTCACTCCTTGTTTACAAGTAATACAACCTTAAATTAATTTAAGCACAATTTTCACAATGTTTTAAAAGGGAATCTCATGGAATCCAAGAGGAGATTTGTAATAAAACTTCAAAATGGGATTGAAACTGGGACTAGGGACTTTACTAGTTTTCATCTCCAAATCCCTGAAGTATTTTTCAGCTTTTACACAGAGGTTTTGTGATTTTCCATGCACTGCTATGTAATTTTTCATTAGTTCATTTAGCTAAAGGACAAACAAAAGTGTCTGACTCTCTCAGCCCCACTTTCAAAATTGTGAGAAGTTACATTTTATTGGCCGAGGTTAGAGAAGGTATATTCCACTTTTTATCTTTATGTTTTATTATTTCTTTCATTTTGCTTGTTTAGAGTTAAATTGCTCTTTTCTCTCCATTCCCAAAGTGGAAGTATAGATGACTGATTTTCAATACTTCATCTTTTGAAATATACACATGTAATGCTATAAATTTCTCCCTAAGCACTACTTTTCCTAAATCTTAGAAGTTTTGATAAGTTGTCTTATTATTTTTGATTAGTTTAAAATATTTTAAAATTTCTCTTCAGACTTTTTTGGTCCGTGTATTATATAGGAGTGTGTTCTTTAATTTCCAAATATTTGGTGATTTTCCAGCTATCTTTCTGTAATTGATTAGTTCAATTCCATTTTGGTCTCAGAACATACATTGCATAATTTCCATTCTTTGGTATGTTTATTATTATATTATTATTATTATACTTTGAATTCTGGAGTACATGGGCAGACTGTGAGTACAGTATTGTTACATAGGTATGCACATGCCATGCTGGTTTGCTGCATCCATCCCCCTGTCATCTACATTAAGTATTTCTCCTAATGCTATCCCTCCCCATTCCCCCCAGCCCCTGATATTCCTCCCCTATCCTTCTAGACCCCAGGTCCCAGTGTGTGATGTTCCCCTCGCTGTGTCCATGTGTTCTCATTGTTCAACACCCACTTATGAGTGAGAACACGTGGTGTTTGGTTTTGTATTCTTGTGTCAGTTTGCTGAGAGTGATGGTTTCCAGTTTCATCCCTGATCCCACAAAGGAAATGAACTCACACTTTTTTATGGCTGCATAGTATTCCATGGTATATATGGGCCACATTTTCTTTATCCAGTCTGTCATTGATGGGCATTTGAGTAAGTTGCGAGTCTTTGCTATTGTGAACAGTGCCATAATAAACATACATGTGCATGAGTCTTCATAATAGAATGATTTATAATCCTTTGGGTATATACCCAGTAATGGGATTGCTGGGTCAAATTATATTTCTAGTTCTAGATCCTTGAGGAATCACCACACTGTCTTCCACAATGGTTGAATTAATTTACACTTCCACCAACAGTGTAAAAGCATTCCTATTTCTCTACGTCCTCTCCAGCATCTGTTGTCTCCTGATTTTATTTTATTTTATTTTACTTTAGGTGCATACTATATCTGGCATTTCTCCCCATGTTATCCCTCCCCACCCTCCAACTGCCCCCAGTGTGTGATGCTCCTCTCCCTGAATCCAGGTGTTCTCATTGTTCAACACCCACCTATGAGTGAGAACATGCAGTGTTTGGCTTTAATTCTGTTGTCTCCTGATTTTTTTAATGATTGCCATTCTAACTGGAGTGAGATGGTATCTCAATGTGGTTTTGATTTTCATTTCTCTAATGAGCAGTGATGATGAGCTTGTTCTCATATTTTTGTTGGTTGCATAAATGTATTCTTCTGAAAAGTGTTCATATCATTTGCCCACTTTTTGATGGTTTTTTTTTTTTTTCTTGTAAATTTAAGTTCTCCATAGATTCTGGATAGTAGCCCTTTGGGTAGATTGCAAAAATGTTTTTCCCATTCTGTTGGTTGCCAGTACATTCTATAGATAGTTTCTTTTGCTCTTCAGAAGCTCTTAAATTTACTTAGATCCCATTTATCTATTTTGGCTTTTGTTGCCATTGTTTTTGGTGTTTTAGTCATGAAGTCCTTGCCTGTGCCTGTATCCTGAATCTTATTGCCTAAGTTTTCTTCTAGAGTTTTTATGGTGTTAGGCCTCATGTTTAAATCTTTAATCCATCTGGAGTAAATTTTGTAAAAAGTGTAAGGAAGGGGTCCAGTGTCTGCTTTCTGCACATGGACAGCCAGCTTTCACAACATCATTTATTAAATAGAAAATCCTTTCCCCAATGCTTATTTTTGTCAGGTTTGTCCAAGATCAGATGGTTGTAGTTGTATGGTGTTCTTCCTGAGGCCTCTGTTGTGTTCCAGTTGTCTATATCTCTATATTATGGTGGTGTATCTTTCTCCACCT